CATGTCCTTTGGTAATTTGAATATGTTGTTTATGAGGAACATACTTTTGCGTGTCACCACATTGCTCCCACTGCACACAGGAGTAGCTGAACAAACCATGCGTCTTCCACAATTCTTGTCACATCCAAACCTATCACATTGATTTGTCTCTCCTCAAACATGCCAGGGCTATAAATCTCAGCTTATAGGACAGAATGTTTTTAGCAGATAGATAACGTTCAGAAAATAGTCTCTTGAATAGAGAGATGAATCAATTAATATCCTGCCTTTCTCTTAATATGGGGCTTGAGCTATAGCCAAGTGCACTTCTCCCTTTCTATTGCAATCAATCTATAAAAGAGGTCTGTAATTATCCAGAATTCATCTTAACATCTAAACTAAGAATCTGGAATTACCAAGCCAAACGGAAGCTTTGAAATGATATCCCAGTTTGAGCTCAGCTAATAGCCAGATTTGTTCTGAAGCTAGTAACCATAATTTTGTTTTGAAGCTAGCAACCAGAAAACTATTGTAGGATGCGTCTTCATTTGGTTGCTTGCATTAGTAAGAGAGGAGAAAAGGAGCTGTAAATGTAGGTCAAAGTTTTTTTTATAACTCATATCATGGAACCAAGATATGATCAACTAACTTTGAACAAACTGTAGTGAGGTGGAAGTGTGGGGTATCTTGTGTGATAAGGGAGATGCTATACCAGTTTCCCAAATATCTTCTACCATGATTTTTTTTTCCACTTTGCATTCAAGGCTATCCCGCAAGCTGGAAACAAGTGTTTATAGATGCTAGGAATGTTTATATGTGAATATATTTTCCCTCTGAAATGCACTGCAAGCTTTGCAAATGTATGGACTTCTGAGAGAGGTCTTAAGAGGTGCAAAAAAGGTTTTTCCAACCACCCCTCCAAATCTCTTTCTCTTTCTTAAGCAAAGTTGTTTCTGAATCAAAAATAGCAATGACTGTGTGTTGTAGTGTTGAAGGTCATGATGATTTAAGAGTCATAAATTTATTTTTCCCAAGAAAGAATGAAGAATTTTACATTTTTTCTCCTCATTGCAAGCAAGTTGTGGAAAACTGTAAGCTTTTCAGACTATTTACAGCTTGGTATGTATTCTGTGAAAACATACATGTGGATTTTTTTATGCAGAAACAGCATTTTCTGTATAGAAAACATTTCTGCAACAAAATCCTCCCAAATTTGTTGCACAGATTTTTCCCAATCTCAGATTATCCTTACCAGAGTTCCTCAATACTTGAATAACCCATTTTTGAAGCCTTCTCAAATATTTTCAAATATTCTTTCCATAACAAATGGGAGAAGGGAGATTTCAAAGAATGAGAATGGGCAGAAACCTCTTTTCATCCATCAGTGTTTCACTTTAATGTCTCCATCAATTGTTTTATTTCTCTAGCAGCACAACCTATGTTCTGATGGCACAAAGATTTCAGTCTTCTTACATCCAACTAGACCTAAGAGTTCAATTTTTAAAGAATAGACTTTTGAGATGAATTTTGAGGCTAGACAAGTGAATTCGCAGTTATGTAATCAGGTCAAGCCTAATAGATTTTTGCTCGCATTCATTTGGTAAATGGATAAAGATGAAGTAGCCATTCAGTACAGATCATTACTGTCACTGACTCATTATACAGAAAAGCAAAGGAGAGAGTATATAGTATTTCATTATTACCTGAGCCCTAATTGCATGACTCATGAACACTCTGCCTTTCTTCCATTGTGTGCAAAAGGACAGGTTCTTTGCTTGAAGCATAATTCAGTGGGTAAAGGGCTTTTGAGCTATTCATTTTCTTTCCCAAATAAAACCTGGTGGTATTGGGGTTGTTTTTAAAAATGTGGAACTTAATTGCCTGGCAAAGATTTAATAAAATAAAATAATTGCTAAATGAACTATTATGTCTTTTATAAAAATATATTTATGTTTGTGTCAGGCAGAGCCAGTGTGATATAATGGTGTCAGCATTAGACTATGATTCTGGAGACTGAAGTTCAAATCTCTGATCAGCCATGGAAACATACTGGTCGGTTACCTTGGGCAAGTCACACTTTCTCAGCCTCAGAGGAACACAAATGTAACTCTGAACAAATGTTGCCAAGAAAATCATGTAATAGGTTAATTTGAAGGACTCCATGAGTCAGAAGTGAGTCAAAGGCACATAACAACTTGGTTATGGGACCAAGCCTTTGATCAGTAAAGTAACACAGTACAAGAAATAAATATGGAATATGTGTGATCAATATTAGGAATGGCCCCAGTCTACAAGTTTGAATCATATGATTTTAATGTTTATATTAAGTGGTTTTAATTTTATGACCTCATTTCTAAATGTTGTTTTATCTGATGTTTAATTGTCTTATTGATTTTAATGCATAGTTACATGTTTTGTTTAGATTTATGATTTGGTTTTATATGTATGTGAGGTAGTGAATTTTGCCATTATTTGTTGTAAACCACTTTGAGTCCCTCCTGGAGTGAGAAAAGCATTATATAAATACAGTAAAGAAATAAAATAATAATAACAATGACATAAAGTGGCCACTTTATAGAATGAATAGAATCAAATAGTATAATCCCCATATAAAAGCCTTTGCAATGAGAGGGTCTAGGCTCCTCATCTGGTTTTGTATAAAATGCTTGCTGAAGTATTATTTGATTTGTAATTATAATTTTGACAGTATTTGCAGTTGCTGTTTTTTTTGTTTTTTGTTTAGTCTATATCTGAACTGTGTTACAACAATTTGGGGAAGGAGTCTTTTTCCCTTAAACTTGGAATAGGTTTCAGTATTCAGAAAGAAGAAAAAGCCATTAAATCTAGTATTTACTGTTTATACACACACAACACACCTTTTAAAGGTGTAGACTTCCTAGGCACAATTTCTGAAAATTACAAGTAGCTAATTCTGCCACCTGGCAGAGCTGAGTTCATAATTTTCAAGAAATCTGTTATTGCAGGAGCAGTTACAAAATACACATAGCAGGGAAAGGTTTGATTGTACGTAGTGAATAGAGTAGAAAAAAACCCCAATCAGCCACTGCATTAAATAGGTTTTCTCCCGGGGGGGGGGGGGTCCTGAGAGTAGGTTGAACATGTGATTTTTGCAGTCTGGTATAGCCCCATTTTCTAATATGGATAAACATCCAAAATGTGCATGATGCTTTAAAGAAAGGGATGTGTGTATCTCTCTTTGTATTTATTTATTGTCAGAAGCGAATAGAGAATGCAATTATAATGTATAGAAAAACCACACACAAAGTTAAAAACTTGGAATTATACTAAATTTCCTTAGACCAGAAGCTGGTCACTTAGAGTGCCTCTGGTGTCACTGTAAGAAGGTCCTCCATTGTGCATGTGGCAGGACTCAGACTGTATTGTAGTAAGTGGTCTATAGTTTACTCTTCTCCACACGTGCATGTCATGGACTCCACTTTGTAGCCCCATTTCTTAAGGTTAGCTCTGCATCTCGTGGTGCCAGAGTGTAGTCTGTTCAGCGCCTTCCAAGTCGTCCAGTCTTCTGTGTGCCCAGGACAGTTTCTCATCTGGTATCCACCACTGATCTCTCTGTGTGTAAGTCAGTGTCTGCCATCTGCTTTCAGGATAGGATAGCTATTTCTGTTAATGCTTAGGCATTGATTACAAACTTCTGAACTTCCTACCAAAGAGGTCTTCTCTAGCCTTCTATCGATTCACCTTCTGCTTGTAAGAAAAAACCCCAAAACTAACATTTAGTCTATTGGGCTGATTTACTCTGGTGGTTGCTTTATATGTTTCGCCTTGTTTTAAGGGTGTTGTGTCATGTTTTATTATTTAATGTTTTAATGTTTTAATGACTTTAATTATTCATTTTAGATAGTGCTAGGTGATTCTATTTTAATGTTTATAGTCTTTAAGTTTTAAATTGTATATTGTCTTGTTTTTACCACTGTTCACTACTATGAATCTCTTTAAGAGAAAAAAGCATAACAACAACGAAACAACTCTGGCAAAAGCCAGTAAAGGTGGCCTCAGTGGTGATTGGCACACTGGGTGAAATGCCTAAAGACCTTGGCCAGCACTTGAAAACAATGAGCGCTGACAAAATTACCATCTGTCCGCTGCAAAAGGCCACCCTACTCAGATCTGCATGCATTATTCACCTATATATCACATAGTCCTAGACACTTGGGAAGCATCCAATGTGTGATCTAATACAAAAGCCAGCATAGTGATCTTGTTTGCTGTGTACTACTCTTGTTGTGTATATAATAATAATAATTGTTTTCAGATAAACCAACTGCCATTTTTTTTTAAAAAATGTGCTTATGTTTGCACTGTTTTAAAAACAATTTTAAAAGTTTTAATGCTAGGAATTTGGGGATGAAGAGGAATCTCATTGGATTTTTATTCTGGGTGCAGTGGCCTTATTTAACCCAACCACAACCACATCCAGTAGTTACATCTTGGGAAAGAAAGGGTCTACTGTCCCCATAACCAGTTAATCCTTATGCATTTGGTCTGGTGGTGCGGATCTAAATTTTGAGTGGCATCCAGTGAGTATTTGCTTTTTCCAATTTTCTCTGGATCAGGGAGATGGAACTGTAAATCACATCTCTCAGGAGCCTAATATTTTCTCTGTGATGCCAGGCAAAACATTTCATTTTTTGACTGCCACACTCCAGAGACTTTGCAGAGTGTTATAGTAAGCTTGCCTCATAAACAAAGCAGTGGAGACTTTCTGTTGCTCATTCATGGGAAGAAGCCTGGTGTTTAATGCTTATTTCTGTGCATAGTTTCTCATCTTTACTGTCGATATTGACAGTTCCATTTATTTATCTGAGATTCCTTGGATAAAAAGAGCAACATATGTCAAAACTGGGGTGGTTACTAAAGTCTTGTTTTTATCTCTAAAGTATTGCTGGGTTGATCGGGGATTCTGGAAGATTCTTAATTTGGATATTGAAGTACAGTAGCCTGTTTGTATTCAGCTGTCCATTGTGCCTTTATCCCTCCAGGTGTATGAGAGCTCTTCCAAGATGGAACAGTTTGTGACTCGCTTCCTGTTGCGGGAGACGATGAACCAGTTACAATCCTTGCAGGTTTCATTGGAGTGGGCTTCAGACACCATTGAAGAACAAGCTGGCAAAGAAAGGTACAAAAACTGTCTGATAGACTATATCTCTCCATCTGAGTCTGCTTGACTCTGGATCTTCCAGGAAGGCCTTTCTCTCACATTCACAAAGACAGCTGATGGGTCTGTTTCAGATTTATAAAGTTTATAGGACTTGGATCCAGGCTTCCAGTCCTGGAGTGAATGCTCTCTTTTAAACATATCTAGGCTTTGAAATCAGCAGCAGAAGCTCTTCCCTTTCTCACACCACTTTCAGAGTATGTTTGATAATGGCGTGAAACATTCAATGAAGTCATAAGAGAGTGAATTCTTGGTAAATGCTCCCAGATTATGGAATAATGTTCCAACAGAGATTAGACTAACTTTCACCCTGCTGTTCTACTGTCAGTGTGCAAAAATATGTCTATTCAGGGAGGTCTCTAGCAGTGGATTGTCTGTTATGATCTAAGTTTTTAAATAGCAAATTCCAATTTATGATTTTGTATGGTTTCAATATGTTTTAGTTTATGTTATGATTTTTATAATTTATCATGGGTTTTACTGGCTCTTCCATTTCATTCTGTAAGAAGCCATTGTTTCATCATTGAATGTCAGAATACAAAACAAAACAAACTAAAATAAGACTGGTTCAAAAGATAAGTAAACTAGCATGAGTCCAAGGTTCAAATCTCCACTCAGCTCTGGAACCCCACTGAGAAAATCACATTCTCTCAAAAAGGCAATAGCAAACTTCCTCAGATCAAGAAAACAGAATTGCTTTAGGGCTCTCATAATTCAAAAAGGACCTATGGAAATAAAGGAACAATTACACAAATAGGTAAGCTATACAGTCTGAATCCTGGATCTAGTTTTATATAGGGATATCCCCAAAGGCTAGAGGACACTCTTTCTAGGAGAAATTATTTAATTTCCAGCTATATTCTACTGCATTGTAGTGAGAGCCAGAGTAAATGCCATGCAGCTGTTTTATTACATACATATTATACATATAGAAGTACCTCATCAGATGGCCCTTTGTAATGCAGAGGAAATCATGTGGCAGTGTAACGCTGCATTCCCCACAGTTGAGCATCATTGGGGTTGTGCTATCACTTCCCACAATATTTTCTTGCTGCACCCTGCTTCCTCTTCACCTCCTCTGGCTTTCTCTGGGCCCCGTTTCTCTCTGCTATCAACACCCTGCTGGCATGGAGCCCATGGAGTCCCTCCAGAAGTAGCCCTGCGCCATGTGATGAGCTCTGCGAGACTCCATGCCGGCAGAGGAGAGAAGTGGGGAGAAGACACTTCTCTACCTTCATCTGATGAAGTGGTGAGCATCATAAATGTAGGTAGGAGGAGTTATCCACTGACATTCAAAATTCCCAATTTTTGGTTGTTAGATTGAATCCTAACAAAAAAAAACACTAGGTGCCATTATCCATTACTTCTAAATTATATATAATACAATTTACATTAAATAAATTACCCCGAATGCACACTCTCACATTTAGGTTAAAATGATGTTTAGCATATGTCGAGGGAAGTCACGGTGCCCCTCTATCCTGCTTTGGGCAGAACTCACCTGGAATACTATGTCCAATTATGGGCATGACAGTTTAAAAGAGATATTGAGAAGCTGGAAGGTGTCCAGAGGAGGGCAACTAAAATGATCAGGGTCTGGAGACCATGCCCTATGAGGAGTGTCTTATAGAGCTGTGTATGTTTAGCCTGCAGAAGAGAAGGCTGAGAGGAGACATGATAGCCATATATAAATATGTGAAAGGATGCCATAAGGAAGAAGGAGCATGCATGCTTTCTGCTTTCCTGGAAACTGGGATTTGGAACAATGGGTTCAAGTGACAGAAAAGGAGATTCCACCTGAACATTATGAAGAACTTCCTGAACTTAAGGGCTGTTCAGCAGTGGAACTCTCTGCCTTGGAGCATAGTGGAAGCTCCTTCTTTGGAGGCTTTTAAACAGAGGCTGGATGGCCATCTGTCATGAGTACTTTGATTGGGCTTTTCCTGCATGGCAGGGGATTGTACTGGATGTCCCATGTGGTCTCTTCCAACTATGATTCCATTTTTGTCTTCTCCTACTGGAAGATTAATGATCTTGCATTCATAAAGTTACATAAAGTCAGTGACTTGTTATGGAGAAAGCTTATTTTCTACTTTTAACCTGTTTTTCCTCTCACTGTGGAATTTTCTCAAAGGTACATATCTCAGCTATCAGTCTTTCAAATTAAACCAGTGTATACCTTCCAAATGGTCAGTCACAATATAAAACATGCTAACTGTATGATACAAAAAGAAGGAAAGCCACAGGCTATTACAAAGAATCATATTTCGCCACTTCAGGAAGCACCTCTTCTGAAAATGTGACAAATTTTTGTTTTATTTTGATTCATTGACATATTAAGCATGGCCTCTAAGAGTGTATTGTGCTAATTCTGTGCTTTTTAGGAATAACGTAAAGAAATCGCAAACTCTTGTTGGCCCACGTGCTATAAAAAGATGTGGCCGTAGAGTTCAGAAGAACATCTGCTTGTCTCCTACGGATCCTTACTCCGGGATGCTGACCACAGGTATGAACAATTTCTGTGTTAGTATTTGTGCTAGTATTTGTCAGGATAAGATTTCTGATGTTATGGAAAACAAAACACCATAAATCCTCCCTAGACAGTTCAAAGCCAGAAGGAGGGGCCGATGGGGAGGCAGAGATGACACCCGGATCTCTGGAAATATTTCTCATGGGAAAAGTCTGACAATGGGTTTAGGGAGAGGACTGAGAAGAGTAGTGTGGACTGAGTTGCCATGGACCTGAGAGAGAGGGTAGTAGGAGTGGATAGAAAAACTAAGACTTTCTTGCACAAACTTTACTAGTGACTTTTTGCTTGCTGTAGTAATAAATCTATTTCCAAGACTTTCTCTTGTGAATGGACTGTATTATCAGGGAGGTTCTGCAGTTACATACAATATGGGTGGATTCTATCAGAGCAGTATGTGTAAACTGGATAGAGGAATGTGTTATCAAGAAATTTTGTACATATTCTTTCATTGCAATTAACAATGCATTGCTTCACATAGCCATAATTGCTGATTACTCAATTACTCGAAAACTGATAATTCATTATCAACATATGAGGAAAAGATTTGCCTTGCACAGTGATATGGAAGTTCTGTATCTAAGGTTAATCTACGAAGGTTCATGCATAAAATTCTCTATTTAGAAATTCTATATTTCAATTTAACTTATGAAGGTTAATGCATAAAAGCCACCATTTGCTACTGAGGTTAACGAATTATTAGTATGCCTATCTCAACAAGTTCAATGTCTTAATTAGGAGACATTGGCTTTCTTTTTCAAAACATACTACAAGTCGGAGGCTGTTATAAAGTGAGAGAGAGTTCCCTCCAACTTGTATCTTCCCAATCATGTCTACACTGAGATAATTGGGTTGCTGTGAGTTTTCTGGGCTATATGGCCATGTTGCAGAAGCATTCTCTACTGATGTTTCATAGGCCTGGGTAACAACGGAAAAATTTGTTTCTAAAATCGATTCGTTTTTTGGTTTTTTGCGTTTCGTTATTTAAAATAATTACAAAATTTTCCTTTTAAAAAGTTCGATATTTACGAAATTTCGTAAATGGAAAAAAATTAACGAATCGATTTCCGAAACAATAACGAATCGATTCGTTAATGGGGGACGCGACCGCGAAATACGCTAAAAAACCTCCAAAAACTTCTGAAGCTTCCCTCTCCCTCTGTTGTTGACTGTTGGTGTGATATTATAATTTTTTTTCACTAATTAAACAAAAAACAACCATAAAACTTGCCCCAGACATGCGGAAATAATAACGAAACGACCTCAAAACAATAACGAAACGAATACAATAACGAAATACGAAGCATTTACAAAACTATTTAAAAATTCGTTTTTTAAAAAAATTGCTCCAGGGTGTTATCGTTTTGTAATTGAAAAAATTAACGAATTATTAACGAATTACGAATTAACGAAACGAAACCGCCCAGCCCTAATGTTTCACCCACATCTATGGCAGGCATCCTCAGAGGTTGTGAGGATGCCTGCCATAGATGTGGGTGAAATATCAGACCATGAAAGCCTTCGACAACACACAGAGATATTACTTTTAGTTCTCCCCTGCTCTTTATTTCTGTGTATTGACATGTCTGTATCAGTCATGGAGAAATGCTGGATCTGATGATGTCATTCCATGCCTAGGAGATGGATGGCGTAGCTATTGCTTTGTGGCAATCACTTGTCTCCCCTTATGTTTTTCAGCTCTCAGACAGACAGAATCATAACAGCATTCTTATAAAGAGCTTGAAGCAGTATTTTCTGTAAGACTCACCCACTTTAGTTTTCATTGCAGGAATGACATAAGGAAGAATGCCCACGAATGATAATTCAATATTAGAAGTGGTCATGGCTCATTTCCAGATATATCTCCTGTCTATTTTGAAGCACAGAGTAAATTATTTATGAAATATTTGAACATGCAAGAGAAAACATTGTGTGAGACAGAGAGAATGGAACATCGCCTTGCTTGGGGATAGGGAGATTGAGTGAAAGGAATCGTGGAAGAATTACAAATCAAGTAAATCTCCCTGATTTGTTAGAAAAGGAAAGAGTGAAGGTTTACTGTCCTGTCTGTCTAACTTTTTATCCATCCAAAACCTTTCTGATACAAGTGTTGCCGTCATTTGATTTCATCTCAGACTTTTCTCTGCATTGCATCTAGGTGTTTGTGTGAACACCAACAGCCATTGGACTACTCAGGTTGATCAGCTACAGCAGCTTATTGACAAACTGGAATGTAAGGTGGGTCAGCAGATGAAAATAGTAGTACATAGAATGAAGATTAATCTCCATGTATTCCTCTGAGATTCCAAGGCAGCTTTACTTCCACAAAAAAATGGTATTCCAAATACATCCATGGCATTCTGGTATTAATTTATAGTGACTGTGAAGATCCAATGCAAAAGATGATTCTGGGGTCCATTATATACATTTATCCTCCTAAAGATCTCCAATGTGGGGGCTTTTCTGATATCCTTGGGGAGTGAGTTCCAGAGTTGGGGGGCCACCATAGAGAAGGCCCTGGTCTTGCTCCCACCCCCTTTGCAGGTGCAATTGTTGGGGACGAGGGAGAGGGTCTTCTCTATGGTGGCCCCCCGACTCTGGAACTCACTCCCCAAGGATATCAGACAAGCCCCCACATTGGCAGTCTTTAGGAGGAGCCTGAAAACGTGGCTGTTCCAGTGTGCCTTCCCTGAATAAAGGAAATAATGCCCTGCACTGACCAGTTCCCTGCAAAATGTCCTCAGAAGCACGTTAACTACCCGTTGGGTTGATCTCCCTACATTACCCTTTAAAACTCTCCTACTTAGATACATCCTACCTCTGTCACACCCAGGATTTATTTTAAAATTTTAATCTATTACATCTGGCCTGGCCCATAAGGTTTTAAATTTTTGTGTGTTACTGCTTATATGTGAGTTATATTAATTGTACTGTTTTATTTACTTGCTGCTTTGTTGTTTTACTGATGTGTTGTTGGGCTTGGCCTCATGTAAGCCACCCCGAGTCCTCTTGGGGAGATGGTGGTGGGGTATAAATAAAGTTTATCATTATATTATTATTATTATTATTATTATTATTATTATTATTATTATTATGCATTTGTGTTCATTTATCACCTTTTGCAATAATTCTGCATTTCTGCCCATTCAGAGTCCAAGGCTGGAACCTCTGAAAGATAATGTGGTCTGCAAAGGAAGAGATTCTGTAAGTTATCTTTCCTATTGTTATTGCTTGATATCATTATTACTAATTGGTTGCCCAAGTTCCTATGTGTAAGAAAGGGAACACACCAAAAAAAAAAGCATAAATGCTTTGGTGGTATGTAGTGAATTTCCTGAGTAGTGTCATTAAGCAGTTCTCCATAAATTTTCATCCTCATAATTAATAGTTTGCTTCTGAGATAATAGATGAAGGTCTGCCTTCCAAGATAACCTTGAACATGGCATGTTATAATTGGAACTGCTCACCCACTCCTTGGCATATTTTTCTCTTCCTGCAGCACATCTTGGTGGCACAGAGACAAATTTCAGTGGCAGAAAGTGGATTCGAGGCATTCTGCCAGGCATTCCAATCCTACACAGAAATCACATCTGGACAGAGCAGCTGCCTACAGTAAGTCTTCCAGCGTTTGACTTTTATAGGTTGCTAGGATAAGAAACAGTAATTGTGGCTTCGGCTGAACTCTCTGTCTTCAGAGAATGAACTTGACTCACTCTGCCAACTGCCAGGGAGGTATTATTTATAGAACCTTAAGTATATACAATTCTGTTTCATACTGACAAACATCTATGAACTAAGCTGTCCACCTAACAGCCTCATAAAAAAGACAAATACTATGTGAAAGCCTACTAGACAAAGAGAAATATTATTGCTTATATTTCTATGTAGATAGCCAAATATACAGAAAGACCGAAAAAGGCATTCATTGACATGATGATCAGCCACCACACACACACATCTCCAAATTTACTAATAAGCATTGGTAAAAGTAAATGTGTTCAGGCTGCCTAGATTTTAGGTGCCAACTTTTGGTAGAAACTAATTCTCTTATTTCTGCAACAATAATGGCAAAAGTAAATCCGGTATGTTTATGTGTTAATGTGTACATTACAAACACTTTGGAATGGACTGACTATTAAATTATCCTTAATATGAATAATAATAATAATAATAATAACAACAACAACAACAACAACAACAACAACAACTTTATTTCTATCACACCACTATCTCCAAAAAGGGATTTGGGGAGGCTTGTTGACACACCTTTATTGTTTACTGGAACACATTTCAGACTGATGAGCATGCAAATCAAGACACATTGGTTGTTAATTAAGACACACATTATAAAAATTATGTGATTCTAATTTTTTTAATCACTTGGTGTCATAACTGAGAATCAGCATGGGTGCTGAAAAATCCCAAAATTTTTGGGGGGGGCAATGTATTTTCCAACATGTAATTGGCTCAAAAAAGCAGCAACCAAGCTGAATTCTCTCCCGTACCACATTATTCCCCTTAACATTTGGCCACATTTTGCTGTGTGTTGTTGATATGATATACTTCCCTACCAAATCATTGGTTGGGGAACAATATGAGCAGATAGCTAAACACTAGTAGAGAAATGAGAAATGTGAAGCCCACTTTACATCGCTGTACTACAACTCTTATCATCCCCCACCATTGGTTATTCTGGCTAGGTTGAAGAGAGTGGATACCAGCAACATCTGAAAGATCATGTATTCCTAATATAACCAGAGTGACTGGAAAAAGTTGTCAGAAAGATCTCTTTCACAATTCACAATTATAGAACTTTGACAATTTAATTTACCATGGCTGCATGCTGTGGAAGTCTATAATTTGTAGCTGGTGGAACATTAGAGCATTTGGCAAAAAATGCTAAATACCTCACAAACCACAAGTCCTAGGATTTGGTAGGATGGAAAGTGACAGTTAGTGGTATCAAGGTGCTATAATTAAGCAATGTGAAAGGGACCAAGAGTGCCTTTTCAGATTTCATGTCAAGCATGACCTTTCACTTGACCCTTAAATGATTATATAAATGATCCTTCCAAAGAGAGGTATGATATTAATATTCCTTCCTTTGATTGAAGATAACTGACATGCCTAGCAATTTCTTGAAAGTCAAGGAAGTGTAAACATTCAAAGCAGCAGATAAAAGCTTGGGTGTTAATTATTCTACCTGACAAAGCTGATGTAATTAATGTGGTCACTATCAAAAGTCAGAACACCTCTTTAAAAAGCACTGGGTGCTATTTAACACTGGCATGGGCACATTATCTTTTCTATGAAAACAATACTAAGAATCCATCCATGAGTCACTAATGGTTAGCAGTTATGATACCAGAGTGAAATTAACTGTCAATACTAAAGTTCATTTTATATCTACAAATACTGCCTGGAGAAGTGGTATGATATAGTGGTTTGAGTTCTGGACTATAATTCTGGAGACCATAGTTCAAATCCCCATGGAAATGCACTTGATGACCTTGTGAAAGTGCCACTCTCTCAAAGGAAGGCAATGGAAAACGCATAACAGGTTCTCCTAAGAGTCACCTAAGTCCAAATTTCCTTGAAAAATCACAAAAACCAGACTGATATCAGGGATGCAAACACAGCCACACACTGTCTGGCACACAATGACATCCATTTTCTTCAAATTCTGCCTTCTTTTCCTGTAGCGTATCTGCCCACAAAATGATGTTGAATGACACATGCTTCATCCTCTATGAGTTCTGGCAAGATGTGGCCTCGTGGAAAAGGTGGGTGGTTCCTTACTATTGGTGGGTTATTCTTCTGAAGGTGAAGAAAATATACATCTGACACTGCATTAGACCAAACTGCAGCCTCACAATGTTTGACTGTTCTTCCATGTTAATGACTTTTACCATATTGACCACACTCTTATGTTGTTTATCAACATATACCTTGGTTTTCATCTGTGAAATTAATAGTGCAAAATAATGTTGGAGGTATGTAAGGTTTCATGAAGTCATTCCTATGCATACTGATTTGGGAGGCAGCTACACTGAACAGATGAACAAGTAAATATTGTCTTTGTAAGTCTTCCTCTTTAAGGATGTTTCAGTTATATGGGTGGGAAATGTAATATGCCTTCCCTTGGCAAATATCTTTAAGTAAACAAAATAATAATAATCTGGTTGGCAATATTGAGCTCTGCCATCTTGAAAATAGTCCTGGAGTCCTAGCTTTTAACCTTGCTTTGATCCATTATTTGATTCCTTTATACTGATAGCACCAAACCCAGATTCATGGGAAGTCATGTCTACTGTGTTAAGGGACTTGCAAAGCACGGTCTCATTTATAAAACATTTTAAAGGCCTAGTGTTATGCCAGTACATCCTTAAGTAACAGTTTGTGGGAAAATAAAAGCCAAGTGGTAGAAACATTTGCTAGACCATGGAAGATTTAGGCCCCTTCTACACTGCCATATAAAATCCAGATTATCTTCTTTGAACTGGATTATATGGCAGTGTAGACTCATATAATCCAGTTCAAAGCAGATAATGTGGATTATCTGCTTTACTAATCTGGATTATATGACAGTGTAGAAGGGGCCTTGGATAGAGGATAGACAGAGTCCTTCAAAATTTTCTGATGAGTTAAGGCAGAGCTTTGCAAACAGTGTAAATGTGTCATATGGGTGTGTCAGGAGAAAGTGATGAGAAACCTCTGAATCTATGTGAAATAAGCAATAAACAATATATGTTTAAAAATATGAATGAAAGTTTTTCATAAGATAGGTTGTGTCTGCAATTTATATAAGTGTCCATACCTCTTATAAGGGGTTGGTTTGGCCTCCAGTTTACTAGTAAAACTGAATTGCTGTGTCATGAAATTATGCATTTCTAAAAAATGTGTCACTTATCATGAAACTCTGAATTAAGGAATACCTGTTACCACTGAGCAAAGTCTAGGAAGTCAGCTATGTGCATGAGGCTGGATAGGATTGGTTGTTTATTGTTCTTAGAAGGGTACAAATGTATTCTGTTCCAATTCTCCTTCTTCCTTTACAGTCATGTGCAATCAGAATATAGTATGAAGTTCCAACGTGCCATCATGGACATACTGGACTCTCCAGAACTCTTGACCACTATGCTTTTTCCAGGTAGGACAATATTCAATACAGCTTCCTGGTTATTCCACACTTTTTTTTCTTTGAAAAGATTATTCTGAGAGCATAGAACATTGTTTCAAGCACATTCCATCTCCATCTTGGACCTGCAGAAACACTCAGTGTTCAATACAGTATGCAATACTTGGGGACTTTGAGTACCTTCCCCTAATCATCATGTACTATTTTGCATGATGAAGAGTTTTGGAGAATTTTTCTGCCACTTTCAGAACATTTAAGTGGCCCTAATAAAGGACCACTTACCTAGCTCTGATTTAACTTCTAATATGTATCTATTCTGATCTAGCTGTCACTGGGAATTTCAAAACTAATTTCCATATTGTATTATCAGGAGCATACCAGATATCATTGAACTGCAACTGAGCAGTCCCAGAATAGCCAATGGTAAAGGATGCTTGGAGTTACAGTCCAGTAACATCTAAAAGGCCAGAAGTTCCCCAACCCTAAACCTGAGCCTATTATACATTTATTTGCTCATGAGTACAGTTGAGTTTATAGAATTACAACCTATTATAGAGATAGGAAACAGAAATCAGCAGACAGGTAGAAGTAGCACATTAGACAAAGTATTAAAAGAGAGAAAGAGAGAGAGACATCTAAACAGGCACATAAAGATATTGTGTATTTATTGTTGTTTTTATAATCACTAGCAGGACATAAGATATGTATAAACTGCAAAGACAAGCAGAAGACATGATGCACAGCCTTACTGAAATATATGAGATTTAGATTAAGAGATTATAATACATTAGCTGTGTGTAAGTACAACAACAAACAAACTAGCTTAAGGGTTGTTGTAGGTTTTTCCAGGCTATATGGCCATGTTCTGGAGGCAATTTTTCTCCTGACGTTTCGCCTGCATCTATGGCAAGCATCCTCAGAGGTAGTGAGGTCTGTTGGAAGTAGGAAAAATGGGTTTATATATCTGTGGAATGACCAGGGCGAGACAAAGGACTTTTGTCTGCTGGGGCTAGCTGTGAATGTTTCAGCTGATCACCTTGATTAGCATTCAATGGCTTGGAAGTGCCTGGGGGGAATCTTTTGTTGAGAGTGATTTTATGTGCCTGTTTGTTTCCCTCTGTTGTTTTGCTGTTGTAATTTTTGAGTTTTTTAATACTGGTAGCCAGATTTTGTTCATTTTCATGGTTTCTTCCTTTCTGTTGAAATTGTCCACATGCTTGTGGATTTCTACACCATGTGTAGTCTGACATGGTAGTTGTTAGAGTGGTCCAGCATTTCTGTGTTCTCAAATAATATTCTGTGTCCAGGCTGGTTCCTCAGGTGCTCTGCTATGGCTGACTTCTCTGGTTGAAGTAGTCTGCAGTGCCTTTCATGTTCCTTGATTCGTGTTTGGCTGCGTTTGGTGGTCCCTATGTAGACTTGTCCACAGCTGCATGGTATACGGTAGACTCCTGCAGAGGTGAGAGGATCCCTCTGGTCCTTTGCTGAACGTAGCATTTGTTTAGCAAACTAGCTTAAGCAGGTATGAGAGGTTGCAAAGGTGACTTGTGAATGCTGCCTTGAGTTTCATTAGGATCACAGGATAGACGCATCAAGCGTCTAGTCGGCGCATCCAAAGGCTTAAATGCCATCTGATCTTAAAAGCTAAGCAAATAAACCTTTGTTAGTATGTGGATGGGCGACCATTTAATTAACACTAAATGATTTATTTCAGAGGTACTGAAACCACCTCTGAGCATTTCTTCTCTAAGGACATGTTGTCTACACTGACTATTTAATGCAGTTTCAAAATCATACTGAAGAAAGTGATTTCATTATGCAGATGAAACAGAAAACCCTGGAACTAATTTGATACCTGGATAGTAGTTGCACACACCACAGAGTACTGATGCACATTAAGGGGTTTCTTTTGCACTCTTTTTGTGGGAGTGTGTTGTTTGGCCACTGCAGTGTGAAACTAGCTTTCAACTGCACTAAATGGTCCATGTTGATGAAGACTAAGAAAACCATATGAAATCCACGGGGCTGCCATAAATCAACAGGCAACTTGAAGGGATGCACACACATGCAGATGAATCAGGGCACCAAAACTTCTGTAATTGTTCATGATTTCTTTAATACACATTCTGAAAACAGTCCTTAATTTCCATAGGAAAAAATATACATAGTTTTGAGTTTATGCTCGAGATTGTCCTGTTCAAGTGTAGTATTGATTAGCTTTTAAATTATGCCATGCACTGTCTCTGTAATTTCTCATTCTATTGTGATTTATTAAACCTCAGTTTCCTAGTTGATACGTCATAGGAAATTATGATTTAATATACAACAATACAGCTGCATTGATCAGGCAAGGACATATGTATGGGGTGTTGCATGGCTGTATGGCTATGGACTAGCAGCATTTTATCCTGAAGTTTCTCCTGCATCTGTGGCTAGCATCTCTAAAGATGCCAGTCACAGATGTAGGCAAAATGTCAGAAGAAAATGCTGCTGGCACACAGCCATACAGCCTAGAAACCACTTGACACCCCAGTGATTCCAGGCCAGCTCTGAAAGCCTTCAACAAGATATATGTATGGTCATAAGACTCCATTTGATAAAGGCAAGGTTGTTACGATTTAGCTAGGTTCATATTTGAGAATGAATAGTAATCCAGTTTATGTATCTTACCTTAGTAATTTTCTTGCATTTATCTCCTCAGCATCCTGGTGGATCATGAACAATAACTGAGGTTCCCTCAAGAAAGCCCGCATGTGGATGGATCAAGCACGATCTTTCATAGAAAGCCTTCCTTCCAGAGTTGCTGTTCCTCGACTTATTCTCCTTCAATGTTGCTTTCTTCCTCTGTATTCATGTGGAATGCTTCCTTTTTTCTGCAACTGTGGGAATGGGACAGCACTTTGGAATGCACCCTGCCATCCTGCCTGAACATCACCTGCATCCTTCCTCCATTTTGACATAGAAGTTTTACAACAAAATAGCCGTGTTAGCATTTTGTCTAAAAGAACAAACTATCACTGAAGAATTATGACTAGTGATAGGATAGTGAATTGGCTCTCCAGTGTAACATGGCAGTGCGAAACATATAGATATGTTTCAGATATTTTGACGGGGGAACCTTGTCTATGTTTACCATAAAAATAACTTTCTTGTATCATAAGGGACTATAGCAGGATCGCCTTAGATTCTGTTCCCATCCAAGTGAGTCTCTGTTAAAGCCAGTGATTGGTTTGTAACAAATAACTAGTATAGAAATGTGGAAAATGTGATCCATACAATAGGAATTATTTGACTGCAATTCTGATAAATCTTGACTAGCATAAGCTGAAGACTAGTAAACTCTAGAGGATCACAAGTTGCCCATCCTTGGACATGACTATTCCTTCTGCAACCTGACCGGATTCCTAGGGCTTTGCTTATCGGGCCTGTTCTGCTAGATGCCATATCCAAAACACATTATTCATGTTCAAATTTGTAAGTTTGCCTTCTTTGCATTTCCGAGCTGGGCTGAAATCCCTACTCAAATATGTGTTTTGACAGTGACATTTAATTTTTTACAAACCAAATATGAGTTCTGGGCCACTGCATAAAATCCAAGACATTGTAAAACTTTATTTTCTTTTTAAAAATAATTCATATGAAATAGAAATCAATTGAATGTGAGTATGCTTTTATTTCAGCATAGCTGAAGGCATCATATAATGAAGATGGTGCTGTACTTTAATCCAGGGATGGTCAACCCCTCTTTTCTCAGAGGCCATTCTCATCTATAAATAAAAGCTTTAATGATCAACTGTAGTTTCATGGAGAAACTAGAGCCTGGGGACATTTTTGAAGTAATGCTACCAGAATTTCCCAGCCAACATGTAGTTTTTCCAAGTTCTGACATAAACTAACTGGGTTAGGTCTCATAATAAAAGTGACATCATCACTTTTGATCTAGTAAGGGCTTCACAACTATGAACAACAAGTACTCAGGCCAAATGGGGCCACTGCACATTTCATTTGCTTCTCCCAGTATTCCAGACTGATGTTTGCATAAAGGAGGACTGTAAGTCTCCCCCTTTCTCATGAAATGAAAATGAATTGATGGTGATGGGGAGCAAGGATGGACCAATTTTGGCATTTCAGTTTCACACCTTCCTCATTCCCCCAATAGTAAAATTGTTTCATCCCACCTTTGTGTCAGGTTGTGAATGCTACAAAATCCTTATCCCTGATGTCCAACTTAGCATTCACAGATATGCATTTTCTGTGATTTCTCCCTTTAAAAAATTCATAAACACATTTTCTGTTGTGTGTGCTTTCTGCAAGCTTTTTTCCCTCGGTATAATGGAAGTTTTTGTGCACCCTTTTCCTTAATATACTCATTTTTTGTAGATTTTAAAAGTTGCAAACCAGATTGCAGATGTCTGAAACCTGCAGATTTCAGTGTACAAGAATGTGTTGGTTCACTTATAAGTTCAGCAGGTTACATTCATGTAAAAATGTAGACCAGGCAAGTTACTGCTACTTCCCTAATTGGAAGTTTCATGGGAAAATAAACGGTTGGGGAAACAGGTAGGCATTCCCTTCCACAGAATATCTTTTCTCATAGCTAAGGAAGAGGGGCTCTTAAGATTTCCTTATATTCAGCCTAACTGTAAGTTTTGGTTGCACTTATTAGGGAAATAAGGAGTACATTGAAAACCCTTCAAGGCACAAGTATATAACATATGCCATATAGGTTTGATCATATTCCCCTTTTCTGGGAATTGTGGGACTTTGAGGAGAGGAGCTTGTGCCTCTTGCAGAATTTCCAGTGTCTTCATCAAACCACTATTCCCAGGTTTCTTTGGGGGAACCTGAACAGTCTGTTGCAATTCTCTGGCTGATCTTTCTAAACAGGCAGCCCAACAGCACTTAATGGACCTTTCAACAACAAAAAAAGAATTCTAAACAAAACATCGCTTTCTCAGAATGGATGGTTCCAAACTTTGCCATTGGCATGTAGTTTCCCCATACAAATAAGGGGTGCTATTTATGCATTGTCGAAGGCATTCATGGCTGGAATCACTGGTTGCTGTGAGTTTTCTGGGCTGTATGGCCATGTTCCAGAAGAATTCTCTCCTGACATTTCACTCACATCTATGTCAGGCATCCTCAGAGTTTGTGAGTTCTGTTGGAAACTAGGCAAGTGGGGTTTATATATCTGTGGAAAGTCCAGGGTGGGAGAGAGAACTCTTGTCTGTTTGAGGCAAGTGGGAGTTCTTTCTCCCACCCTGGACATTCCACAGATATATAAACCCCACTTGCCTAGCTTCCAACAGACCTCACAACCTCTGAGGAAGCCTAGATGTGGGCGAAACGTCAAGAGAGAATGTTTCTGAACATGGCCCCATACAGCCCAGAAAACTCACAGCAACCTGGTGCTATTTATGTTTAAAGCAAAGAAAAAGAGAAAACTATTGCTCCAAAAGCAGGAAAGTTATTTATCCATTTTACAAATGCCTGATTATTTTGTATTCCTTTTGTGTATATACAAGGCTCTGTCTGTACTCAGTAAGCAAATATGGCTGTATCTCCAATTTCTTTATCTCTTAATAAACAATTCCACACTCCTGCATTAGCTTGTTTTTTTAGTCTGTCTTCTCGTGAATTTCCTTCTAGGTCTTGTATGAATAACTGAGGCTAAAGACACTGCAGTTTCCTTTGTAATGATGCTTTGAATTTGTCTCGAATAAATATAGAGCCTTTGACTGCATGCTCACGTACCATATTTTGGGAAGTTTTTATACTTGAGAATGTGTTAGTAGTCATTTGAACATTTAGGGCATCTATAACCTTCTTTTCCCTATAGCTCTGCTGAGCTGGAAGGAAATGATGCTGCCAGGGAAAAGATGCTGCTATGAGCACTGGGTCAGCAAGTCAGATTGTGGTTGTGGGAGTATTTATTTATTTACCCTATTTATACCCTGCCTACCCCGAAGGGACTTAAGGCAGTTTGCATATAGGCAATTATTCAATGCCTTAAAACACATACAATTCCTGTAACATTAAAATTAAAATTAAATTAAAATTAATACATATTAAGCATTTAAAACATTTAAAAAACATTACATTCAATATAAATCATGCCATCCATAATTATAGTCCAAAGACTTTTCATAGTCATTGCACATATTCCAAATCTGTTATTTCACTGCACTATTCTCCAAAAGCCTGCTCCCAAAGCCAAGTTTTTACTTTCCTTCTGAAGGCTAGGCGGGAGGAGGCTAATCTAATGTCACTGGACAGGGAGTTCCATAGCCGAGGGGTCACCACTGAGAAGGCCCTCTTTCTTGTCTCCACCAGTCACGCAAGGAAGGTGGGAACGAGAGCAGGGCCTCCCCTGGCAATCTTAATCTCTGAGGCCGTTCATAGGGGGAGATACGATCAGACAGGCAAGCTGGTCTAGAACCATTTAGTGCTTTATAGGCTAAAGCCAGCACCTTGAATTGTGCTTGGTAGCTGGTACAACAGGAGGGATGTCCTCTCTCTATATGAATAGGGTGGAAAAGACCTCTTCAACACTACAAGATGAAAATCCAGTCTTACCAGTGACTAGAGATAAAAGTGATTTAAATTTCAAATGTCTTGAACGTATCAAGAAAATAATATATGACATTGATATGCCTTGGAATCAGAGATAAGAATGGGCTGTCTCTGCTTAGTAAAACGGCTTGGATTTCTCATGACACACATACATTTTATGATGAGGAAAGGCAATTATCAGGGATGGGGGGTATATTGGCCCACTCTGGCCTGCCACGCTCCACATACATCACCAACAAAAAATGTTTTTGTAAAAGCCAAAATATTTCTCATCTTTTCTGTAATCATGGGGGGAAATTTTCCATTTTAGGAATGGTGGGCTCCCAAAAAAAAACCTTTTCAAAAGCAGAAAGTCAACAAGACATATCTTCCTTTTGAAAGAAAGAAAGAAAGAAAGAAAGAAGAAGAAACCTTTTCTTTGGGGGCAAAAATTAGTCTCTAGAAGACATGGGTGTTTTTGATCAAAAAAAGTGTAGAAGGAATTTTGTGTTCAAAAATCTCCCTGAAGTTTCATGTGTGGTTCCTAGAATACATTTTCACCACCTTATTGATATGATTACCAGACACTGAGTATGTGATTCAGAAGACATTCGGCTGGTGAAACAGAGGACACACCACTACACAATGAGAATACAAGCTAAATACTCAATACAGTGCTGCCTAAGAGTTGACCTGATAAATATACAGAATTATATTCATATTATAATTATCTTTAACATAGTATCCATGTACAAAATGAAATGGACATTTCTATATTTTAAAAACCTAAGGTTGTTTGTCCCTATACAAATACGGGCTGAAATCTTGCACTGGAAAAATTGCTATGACATCTCCCAATCCTTCCTTCCAACATTCTGCCTTTGAACTCTCACAGCCTCTCCCTAAATATTGAAAAAAAAAAAAAACAAGGTACCAGGGAGAAAGTTCAATGGGTGATAACATGTCCAGTTCCTTCCTGGTCATGAGGCCATGAGGTTGGACTGGATGGTCCTTGTGGTCTCTTCCAATTTTATGATTCTATAGTGGGGCCTGCTGGGACAAGATCCCATAGTGATCCTGCCATATTTGCCTGTCTTACTATAACCCATGATTACAAGAGATCTAAACTCATGATTATTCACCACCCCACTCTCCATTTTGGAAATAGCTGTGCTGGGATTCGGGGATGTGAAATTTCAAAGGTATGAATTTCATAATTGTGATTGTACAGTGAACATAAACATGAATTAGAACAACTACAATGCTGTAAATCAGTCTCCTGACATCATAATTACTGAATAGGATGCTGGCCACATATACAATATGAAAGCTTATCACATGCAGTTGTATACAGTTTCACTCTAAGTGTTAGGTGTAGCATGTATCTTAGAAGAATTGAATATGTTCACATACAGAATGCCCACCATATCTATGGGGGATGCAATCCTGAATTTATTGTTGAAACAGGTAACTGAACCCTATTAAAATGAATGACTTCTACCAGATGTATAGTTTTGCCCTGGAAGACCTAGAAAATTCCTAGAGAGGGATCCTACTTCTCCCAACATGACTTTATGGTAACTTCTGATGGAAGCATACCACGTAACATCTGGAAGACCTAGAACTCTTCACTGGTGTAGCAGTTGTGCGGGTACAGAAATCATATATTACATCTAATCAATGTCTAATAAATGTTTCTACAAAGTATTAAATGATAGATTCAGGTAGAATTTATATCACTTGAAAAAATACCGTAGAAAAGTTTTACAAGATAGAAAAAGAGAGTCTCTCTCAAGGTCATCAAACAAAACTTAAAATAGTACCTGGGCTGGTATTATTTCCTCTTCTGTCATGTTGTATCAATTGTTCTACAATCGTTACTGATGTTGTTTGCAATTAACTCTGATCTAAGACTTATCTTTTCAGAAGACATGCTACCTTTTTCATGTCCTAGTTCTAGAGAAGGCAGAAAAATCAATGGCTCTTAAGTTAATATCAATCACTTGCCTTATTTCACCAGGCTGGGTTTTCTTGCATGCTTTTGTTCAATCACACTTTGTGAGATAAGTGAATCTTGAGTCTTGCCCTTTAATGTACCGTAGCCAAGGTCACAGAAGGATGGCTCAACAATTGTATACTTCTAACACTTACAAGCATTTCTCCAGATCTTCTTTGATCAGATGTACAAAAGGCATCTTATATAGTTGTATCTTAGGTTTAAAAAAGGTAAAAAAAAAAAGTAGATATGCTTCTGGGCATTACTTCTTTCACATAAAATGTGGTACTAAAGGGAGAAATAATGTAGAAAGAATGTGGATAGGTCCCTGCCTCACAAAAAAGTTCAAAATATTTCATCAGAGTTTTTATTCTATACCAACAATATTCATATATGGGATGAAACACCAAGTTGGGTAGGCCTTGCATAAGTTTTTTTTTAAAAAAAACCCACTTGAAAGCTTATTCCAAAATAAATCAAGGACTTTTTTGACATGTTGGGTTGATCTACTGAAGCAGGCAAATCTACTTTCCTCTTTTCTCTCTGATTCACTGTACATGTGTACATTTGGAGACAGCCACAACAACAGATTCAGCTAGAGTATAATCAGAAAGTATCTAATTTTATGCTCTTTTTTGCTCAGAGATATTTGGATAGATACGCTGCACCCCCATCTACACTGACCATTTAATGCAGTTTCAAACTGGTATTGAAGAAAGTGGTTTCACTGTGTGAATAATTACATAGGAAATCTGGAAGCTTGAATTGTGATTACAGAAACAACAGAGCACTGATGCACATTAAAAGCTTTCTTTTGAGTGCTTTTGTGGAAGTTTGGCCAACTCAGTTTGAAAATAGCTTCAAACTGTATTCAATGATCAGCAGGCCCGTAGCCAGGATTTCGTTTCGGGGGGGAGGGGGGGCTAAAAATTTTCAGGGGGATTTGGGGGTGGGGGGGGGGCTGAGTCTGAGTGAAAGAGGGTCTAGCCTAGCAAACCTTTT